CTTCAACAGGTGCTTAGGTAACATTGACCTCTGCACTCATGGTATGACTTTGTCAATATGGATTAATCCACAACAACTTCAGAATGGACAAACATTTCTGTCGACACCAACTTACAACCTGTTCTACAATGATGGAAATCTACAGTCACATTTCTACGGCCAGAAAAAGACATGGACGACATCAACCTCACGTCTGCTTCGCGAGGAATGGCAGAGAGTGACACTGGCCTGGCACCCAAAGAAAGGTCTGACCATGTACATTAACGATGAACTCATGGGACAAGACAGACGAGGAGTAGAGGGTGCTCAAAGGGAACAGCCTGTATCAGAACATGTTTATATAGGTCGCAGTTTAGACTCTGATAGAATCACAGCAAACATTTTGGCAGACGAGTTTCAAGTGTGGTATGATGACCTTGATCAGCTGCGTAATACTGGTCAGTACAAGGGTAAGTCACTCCTAATGTTCCCATTTTAGCAATTCTGAGCAGTCTTTACTGCAACACAGAAAAATGTATAATTGTTTTGTAGTATATATATATATATATCAGTGAATTGATAGTCATCATCATGTTCATTGTTAGATCTCATAGGTCATGGCTATTCATCTAGTGGTCCACAGGCCAAATCTGGCCCACAGAGACCTAGCAAGTGGCCCACGGGTCATTGCCAGTTGTATTGTATTAATGGTCAATGATGAGTGCTTATTTTCAAAATTTTGGCTTGTCATTAAAGTTATTTGAATAACCATGTCATCATGTCTCTCCACAGTCCTCAAACCATGTTGTTTTGGAAGAATACACATGATGAATGTTTTCCATTCTACTGGCTAGTATTATTTCTACATGTCTGCCTCTGATCTTTTCGGTCATACAATTATTCTCCAGCCATACAGTTTTTCATCAATGCCCCTATCTCATCGTATATGTGTTCTCTAATTTTGTCAATTTGTACTTGATTTTGTGTGTGATAGAATGAAAGCCTGAAGACTGAAAGGTCCCAAAAAACATTCACTACTTTTATTTGTGATAGCCTAACTCATCAAGATCCCACTTTACATTTGAAATCAAATAGTAATATAACTTTAATAAACAATCAAAACACAACGAAAAGTTGCTTAGGAATATTAATAATCTTCTTCTTCAGTATTCCGAGCCCTTAAGGTTCATTGCTGCAGATATCCCCCGCATCCATTCATCTCTCTGGTTGGCCTTCTCTTTCCAGTTGGTGACACCAAGTGTTTGTAGGTCTGTCTGGACATGATCTCTTCATATTCTTCTTGGTCTGCTTCGTGGTCTACGACCATACCTCTCCCTGATGTATACAGTTTCCACTTCTCTGTCATCTGACATTCTTTTAGTATACCCCAATCATTTCAGTCTATTAGCTCTCCTAATGTCAGTGATCAGTGGTGATTTAAATAGATTATGAATTTAATTGTTGCTTTTCACTCTCCATTCCGCCCCCCCCCCCCCCCCCCCCCCCCCCCCCCCCCCCCCCCCCCCCCCCCCCCCCCCCCCCCCCCCCCCCCCCCCCCCCCCTGTTTGCATCTTTGATGGGTGCAAAGATTCATGGTAAGACTCAGTTTTCTAAAACCTGTAATAAGGCTTCATCTATTTTAGTTGTGTTCAAAGTTTCAGAGCCATATAACACAACTGGTCTAATCAACATTTTATATATTTTGATCTTTGTGTTGCGAGACAGACGCTTTTACTTTAGCAGATGTTGAAGGGCATAGTATACTTTATTTCCAGATTGTATTCTAGATTGTATTTCTTCTCTCAGCATGTAGGAGCAGTTGAAGTTTGCACCCAAGTACTTATATGTTTCCGTTCATTTGATTTTCAAATTATCGACTTGTATGTGGCCGTAGTTTATATCCTTTGCCTGTCTAGTTATTATCACGTATTGGGATATTAATAATAATTGACGTAATGTTTCTGAGCAGTGTTTTAGCAATAGTTTCCAGGTGTATTGCTTTATAATTAAACTATTCCTATAAAGAAAAAAATGAAGAAATAGCATAATACATTACTATAATTACTTAAAATAAAAGTACCTTTTTTTTTAACTTCCCCTAAATATTATGACTGTTAGAAAGTTGAAAAAAAATTGAGTTCAGTATATTGGTTTTTGTATAGTTAAATGTTTAACTCCGGTTTGCTAGCACAGTTGGCTAAACCTGACTGCACGGCAAATGGGTGACAAACTCCTTGTGGTCCTGGTTTACGCCCGGGGGTAGGTAGAAAAGCCACATTTCTCCAAAATTTACGGTATCTATCATGGAATCAAGGCCGAAGGGTTGCGATATCCGTAGTACCGAGCTAAAGGGTTAAACAACACATAGTTTCTGGCTATTAACAATAAAGGTTATCAGTGCCTGTTAGCATAACTGTCAGTTTAAGTCAATTGCAGTTCCATATTAGGTTTTAGCTGAATCTTGATTATATCTCTACCTACTAAATACTTTAATAATTTATTTGTTGTAAATTTAACTCAGAAGTTTGTAAATAAAAATTTGACTTAGTTCGAGAGAATAGTTCAAAGTAAACATTTATTTTTTTACAAATAATAATGACACTAATTGTCAGCATAAATCATTTTCATATTATTTTTTGAATTAGCAAAACAAAGGTAATCTTTGTGGTAATACAAAGCTTGTACTGAATTAGTGAGGGTTTCAACTGTGATAGTAAAATATACTTTTGCACTAATTGTGATATGTAAACTATGCTTCTTCTCCATTAATATTTGTTTGTAATGTCAACTTCAGCTCATGTTTATTTTTAACATTTCTGTTCTAATATTACCTGGTGCCATATTAATTATATTTTAACTTTGTAGTTGCTTATAGTAAATTTAAATGTTGTATACCTAATGAAATGCATTCACAAAACAAAAACTATTTAAAAAAAATAGTATTAATCCTTAATATAATTAATAAATGATACAATAGTGCTTAAATAATTTACTAATTTAAATAATTAACTGTTAGAGTAACTTGTTGTAGCTATGTTTTGATTATATTGTCTTTTATACGTCTGCCTAGTTCTGCTTACTCATTTACTAGCCCTGTAGTTACTTAGTTGTTTTGTGTGTAATTTTGGAGTATTAATAATTATGTGACAAGCAAATCTGGCAGTGAAATGATTGCATCAGAAAGTTAAAATTATCTCATCATAACTGTATATACAAACACAACATTCATGTCTTATGTCTGATTTATGATAATCTTTGACAGCACAGACAAGAAACTGAAGAGAAATGTCTGGGCAACCACAACTAACAACAGTTATAAGAAAGACAAAGAAGATGGCGCTAAACTGGGAACATCCTGAAAAGAAATGAGCAGAGAATCCCCTAACGCACTAAAATGGAGAAAAAAAAGGGAATGAGAAAGCGAGAGCGCCCCAAAGAAACCCTAAAATGAATGTTGATAAGAGAGGCCAAAGGTGCTAGATTAGATTCTATTCATTATATTGAATTGATTGCACAGGATAGAATGGAATGAAGGAATAGTTTGAGAGCCCCATTTGACATAAAATGGCAAAACAGGACAATGAGCACAGAGTAACTTCTGATAGTCGAATCAGCCAGCCATTGGTGTGGCTTCACTAAAGCTGGATTTTGGTCAAGGATCTCTTGCTTCCACACAGATTTCCCTATAAATGCACCGGTCTGCACTGCACTCATAGATCACACAAACAAGAGAAGAGGTTGATTTGTTTAATGAAAACATGTTTAATCAATGTTGGAAGATTTTAAAAAAAAAATTCTTTTCAAAATTCACCAGACTCTTTATGCCTTTACAAAGATGAAATTATAAGAGAAAACAACTACCATTTAGGTTTCCTTGTGCTAATTTTGGAATTTTCCATCACCATAATATTCTTTACAGATAGTGTTTAGACTTTTCTTCAGACCAGATCGAAAGTACGGGGTGCTAGGAGAGTGTTGTAGAGCTCTTCTCTTTTGTAAATGCAAGCTTAGAAAGTAGCAGAATGTGCAAGACCAGTACTTGAACTTCACCTCTGCAAAAACGAAATATAATGTATGTAATCAGGTCATGGTTCAGCATAAACTGGTTGGGACTAGAGATTTCACACAGTGTTTACTCTATAGGTATTAACTATTTCTTTGTCAACAGACAAAGGCCAACATTTAACTGTCAAGACTAGAAAAATCTTATTATTCTCTTGAGTTACAAAAAGGCAAAATTATCAAGATAAGAACAATGACTACCATAGCAAAAAAGAAAACCACAAAGACAACAGAAGAAACAGATGTTATGCATAACTATTTCATTAACAAAAAAAGTGACGTCATCAGAGCTAGCACTGGTTTGATTGAAGAAATTCTCGGGAAGGCTAACCTGGGCAACAAATGTCTGCTGAGGTCATGTGTGTCTGCGGAAAGGCACAAATATTGCAGCCATGTTTTAAACAAACACAGCATATTTACGTCTTCAGATAAACAGAAGAAGAAAAAGACTGAAGAAATTCACGCTAAATTTTCTTCCCCTTCTGCAGTCCTCTTTAAAAGTGAAGTTCGCATGTTGTACTGAGGTTTACAGCGAAGCTATCATATATGATAAACTAGTATCAGGTAAAGTCCTGGGAAGCAAAGGTGGCCAGCGTGTTGTTGAAGACGTCACAAAACTTAGTGCTGACTGGTCTATACAAAATATGCGTTTAGCCTCATATGCCCTATGTGCCCCCGGCATGGACATTTTATTTTACTTCCTGAAATATGAGCCTTTCAGCCCAGCACAGAGTTTCATCAAACCTATCATTAGTCATCATTAATGACATACTTGTTGAGGGCTATGGTTCTATTCTTTTTCCCCCTGAAAATATGGCTCGTGAGCCCACAATAGGCCTAAGAATTCACACCAGATTATCTGTAACCTGTTACAGCTTTTATCATTTACAAGTATGCCATGTTTAATTATTAATGTATTTACGAATTGTGAAAGAAGATTTCTGAAATCTTTTGCTCAGTTCAAGTGGTGCCACAGACAATTACATTTGATGATTTCCAAAACAACATTATGAGAATACGTGATAGGGAGATCCGGGGATATGGGGATATTCGAGTGGGAGTTGCCCACGGTAGAGGGGAAAACACCAGAGCTGTTTATCTGCTGGGCACAACTGGATATTTGGATCTTGGAACAAATTTTACTTGTGGAGGTATGTCGTCATCATCATCACCAATTATCATCACCACCACCACCATCTTCATAAGATTTATGGCTTCCTGTTAACACATGAAGGATATTAATTTATTTTCAACAATCAGCATGTCCTTTACAAAAGCTCATTCTCTTCACAAGACACATCACAGTCTCTCTTTCTCTTCATAAGACACCTCAAAGTCTCTCATTCTCTTCACAAGACACCTCAAAGTCTCTCTTTCTTTAACAGTTTCTCCAGCCCTGTGTACTTTTACCGCTAATGCCTCTTCAATGTTCTCTATCAACAATTGAGGAGGTCAGCCTCTACCTCTTTTTCAAGAAACTGCATCCTCCGTCACCATTCTCTCCTGACCACCATTGTGCTGGACCTGACCACCATTGTGCTGGACCTGACCACCATTGTGCTGGACCTGACCACCATTGTGCTGGACCTGACCACCATTGTGCTGGACCTGACCACCATTGTGCTGGACCTGACAAAATATAATAACTTTCTGGAGAAGATGCTGTTTATTAGTAATAAAAATATTCACTAATCATCATAATCATCATCAGGTGCCTTGCCGACTGGCGTGGGCGATCATGCCTTTTCATAATCTGCGATCTCCTGCAGCATGTATCAGTTCGTGTGCCGACACACCTCCATGCCATGCAACAAGACTGTCAAGCATCTTCTCTCGTTGTCTACCTCTATCTCTCCTTCCACATATCTTTCCAGTGGTCACAACATGTTCTATTTTCCCTCTTCTCATAACATGGCCGAAAAATGATGACTGTCTCCTTCTGATGTCTGTGATAAGTTGTCTTCGGGCTCCCGCCTCTTTCAAAACCTCTTGGTTGCTCTTTTTGGCTGTCCAAGGTATTCTAAGCATTCTTCTGTAAAACCCCACTAATTCACTAATATCATGTCTAATCCTTCTGAATTTTAACTGAAACATATACTGTTTATTAGATTTTTTCAAATATTGGATGTTTATGTTTTCTTACTTTTTACTTTTAGATATTTTGTATTCTCTAGATTGTCTTTCAGATAATTATTACATTCACATAGTAAATCTGTCTGTAAGCAAAATTCAGATTTTAAACTAGGGATATGAGTTACCACTGTTCTGAATTGTAAACCTAATTAGTGAGTAAAAAACTCTTTTCAGTTAGGCATATGGTGGTGGGCAAATGGTGCTGTTAGACGTATATATTTATACACTAATTAGCACTCGATGAGCATTGGGGTCAACATCACGGCAGCCACTTTTACTTCCCAGGACATCTCCTGGTACCCATTTTGTTTGCTTGACCTTGGAGAACTAGGTCAATATAGAAAATGTGCCCAGATGCAGATTCTAACCCAAGACCTTTTGCTGACAGACAAGTAGCATTATGTACATCTGGCTCCTGCAGATCACCTAAATAGAAATTGTTTTCATCTCGGGTACTATTTCATCTTTGTCCAGACTATCTGATTCACACACAGTAGAGAGGTGTCTTGGAAGAACAAACTAGACATGCCAGCAGACTGTAGGCTTTTTTACAAATCTACAGCAGACCTTCTAATTCTTCATATAAATTATATGAACTCTTTTCCCTTATATTAAAGTGAATTTTACTTTTTTCGAGTCTTCACATACTGTTAAATCTGATAAAACAGCCGTTTCAGATTGTCTTTATTGAAAACAATTTTGATAATATACAAAACAAAAGTAACCTCATATTAGATATTGGCAGGTGGGTGTGAAATGTTGGGCATTCAGATACTCTAGTCATGGCATTTGAGGATTTGAGGAGGAGTGGCCAGTTCCCTTCCTGATCACTTTTCTATCCCAGACAAATTTGGGTAAAGTTTCTGGTACTCATTTCTATGAAGTTAGGTCAGCCGAAGAGTTTTTCTGGTTGGGATAAGTGATCACTATGCCACCACAGATCCGTTGAAGACTTTTTTCTAGTGATGTCACTGCTGAGGAACTTGATGACAGTGCATCAACAGCTGTGGTTAATAAAGTTTACATAGTGTGGTCCTATTCTCTTCAATGGTGCAACACGTGTGCCACTCTGGTAGCCATGAGAATGGTCTGTTTACCATGATACTTGAGGATTATAACATTCACAAACCTCTAAACTACAGAGCCTTATCTTCAAGGCATATGGAGATATAAATTGTATACTTGAAAATTATAACCAGTGCAAATAGAATTAGTACAAATGTTGGTATTATTTTGAACTCTTTAGACGCATCCTCTGTTGGTTTAAAGTAAAAACTGTTAAGGACAGAATCATTTTAAATAACAAATGCATGAGGCTGGCAGAGTTAAAAACTGATTCCAGCTTCCAAGTCAACCCGGTCTAAAAGAACATCAGGAATTGTTCTGGAATGTAAAGATTATTGGTGCAAATAGATTACATCGAACAATAAGTGTAAACTGGTTTGCAAAAATGTGGGACAAGTAGCAGATATACAATAATTCTCATCACATAAAATTCATTTCTTAAAAATAAAAATTCTTCTTCTTCTTCTTCGTGTTCACTAGAAGTAAACTCTGGTAGAAAGTTCTGGTTGTTCATCTACTCTAGACTTTAGTTGTGTTCCACAACTTGACTTTTGCATGCACATCATCATCATCAGGTGCCTTGCCGACTGGCGTGGGCGATCATGCCTCTCCATAATCCGCGATCTCCTGCTGCATGTATCAGTTCGTGTGCCGACACACCTCCCTGCCATGCAACAAGACTGTCAAGCATCTTCTCTCGTTGTCTTCCTCTATCCCTCCTTCCACAGATCTTTCCAGTGGTCACAACATGTTCTATTTTCCCTCTTCTCATAACATGGCCGAAAAATGATGACTGTCTCCTTCTGATGTCAGTGATAAGTTGTCTTCGGTCTCCCGCCTCTTTTAAAACCTCTTGGTTGCTCTTTTTGGCTGTCCAAGGTATTCTAAGCATTCTTCTGTAAAACCACATCTCTGAGGCCTCAAGAAATTGTTTGGCCTGCCTACCGATTGTCCAGGATTCACATCCATATGTTAAAACTGGATGTATGTAGCAAGCAAGAATTCTTTTTCTAACTCTCAATGACAAGGATATATTGCACAAGATGTTTTTCATTTTATAAAATGCAGTTTTTGCCTGTCCAATTCTGTTTCTTATTTCAGTTATGCATCTTCCATCTGATGTTATCCATGTGCCCAGATACTTAAATTTCTGTACTTGTCTTAAAATAACACCATTGACTTTTATTATACATTTAGGAATAATTTGTTTCTTTGATACCACCATTACTTCTGTCTTCCCATTATTCAAACTGAGGCCCATTCTTCCACTTTCAAACACCACAATGTCTATCATTTCCTGTAATTCTTTCTGACTTGTTGCTATCAAGACTGTGTCATCAGCATAACGTAAATTGTTTATATTGTGCCCACCAACCACGATTCCGGGCATATCAATTAAAGATCTCATAATATATTCACTGTATATTGAAAACAAATCAGGTGACAGTACACATCCTTGTCGTACGGCCCTCTTTATGCTTTGAAATGTACCTAAACAGTTGTTTATTCTTAAAGCTGCTGTTTACATGCACATCCATTTTATAAATCTGGCTTATTTGTAATCAAACTGTTGGTTCCTCATCTCTCAGGCATATGCACTCTGTATTCTAAGGAGTCATTTTGAATATATTCTTATCCATGTTTCTGAAACCGAATTCACTTCTTTTGATCAGATTTAATTATCTTTGATTTATATTCAGGTGACCTGGAGTCCTGCAAACAAGGTGCAACAATTCGACTTGGCCTTCGACCATCAGATCTGCAAGATGGCATGGTTTACTTTGACTCATTCCCAGTGAGACTCTACTACAAAGATGGTCGATTATTTGGCCAGTTTCAAACAGCCACTCAATTATGGACAGTGAGCTCACCAGAATTTAGACCAGGTGTCTGGCAGAGGGTAATTCAGATATTTATTTTGATATTACATTGTTTGGCTTTGTTAAGAATCACTGTTATTGTACATGGATGTCTTAAAAAGTGCTCAGTCTCCATTAATTGATCTCACAAGGAGAGTGTCAACAGTATATGTAAACTGTGCTGACAAAGATCCATTTTCACGCCTTAGGCACATCGGGTATATGGGAAGAGCGTCCCATGTTTTTACAGACCAATCGGCACTGGTAATTTGGTCAGCATTACACTGGCCGTCTTTACTTCCCCAGGAGAGCCATCCTGGTACCCATTTTAGGCTGGGTCGACCTGCGACGCCCCATACCATGATAAAAATCCACGCAGCCAGCAGTGGGTTTCGATCACGGTACACTGGATTACGAGTCTGACTCGCAAAGCCTAAACCACGGACACCGCAAAAAGTAAAGATCCCTTTTCACACCTTAGGCGCATCGGGCATATGGGAAGAGCACCCATATTTTTACAGACCAATCGGCACTAGGTGGGTAATGTGGTCAGCATTACGCCGGCCATCTTTACTTCCCCAGGACATACATCCTGGAATCGGTTTTCATCGCTCAAATCAAACCTCTTACCAATTCAAACACCTGACGGCAATGTTTTCCACCGCTGCATACTCGAGAATATCAGGTTTCCTTACTTGTTACTTCGTTGGTTACACTGGCTGTGGTAGGTCGGGTTCGCGAATGGAAGAGGAAATAATTACAGACATTTGGAGTTCTATTTTTACAAGTAGTACCCCTTTCTTTGCGAGGACATCTCATCAGGCTACACAGACATAGTTATGTCGTACAGGGGCGACACTGTGCTGATGGGCGTTACGTCTCTGGCCCCTTCCCCAGCACGACGGCACCACTGGGGTAACGTTAATAAACTCTCACTAATTAAATATGGTAGACATTTTTTATGAATTCAATCCTCGCCAGAGCTACGGATTTCGTGCGTCCGTACTGAGATCCGATGCAGCAGCATCTACACGCTACAGAAGGAAAAGAGGACAACATGGTAGAAAACGGCGCAATAGACGTGCTGGTGCACGCAAAAACCAATCTAAATCAGAACGCCTTGGCAAGGGAAATCTCCGCATTCTTTGCTGGAACTGCAGGAGTGTTCGACAGAGAGGCCCAATCTTGGAGAAACTGATATATGATGCTGATGTAATCGCACTTCAGGAGACCCGGCTGAATACAGAAGAAGCTCTGAATGTCTCAGGCTTCCAAACGTACTACAACAGCAAACACCTAGGCCAAGCGATCCTGGTCAGGCGCGGAATAACATCCTCAGTTGTAGACACGAGTGCATGGAACAACAACGAAATTCAGGTTCAGGCCGTAAAGGTAGACGGAAGTAAACCTTTCACACTAATCAACATCTATGCCTGTAATGATAAAGTTGACAAAGAAAAGTGGACAATTTTAAGTGACATATGCGAGCAGATAACCACCGACATCATTATGTGTGGGGACTTCAATGCCAAAGGGCGTCTATGGGGCAATCTGACGGTCAATAAACAGGGCGAGGCACTGGAGGAAGCACTAACAGACACGGATTTAATCTGCTTGAATGATGGCAGACCCACCAGAATCCCCGACAGAGAAGGTGATACTGACAGTGCCCTTGATCTCACGCTGGTCTCTCCCAGTATAAGTGCACTTTGCCAGTGGGGCGTACTGGGACATCATGGAAGCGACCACCTTCCATGTTGGATTCTGGTCAAAAAAACAATCTGCACAAGGTATCAGAGACCAGCCACTTCTTTCCAGTATGCTGCAAATCAGCCTGATGTAATTGGGCGTCTGCGAGACAGGTCACGCAGAACACCGGGAAAGAAGAAAGCTATCTTTCAACAACCCCCATGGTGGACTCCTGAAGTCGCAGAAGCCTGGACAGAGAAACGAGGTGCCACCAAAGACTGGGAGAAATGCAGAAAGTCTTCGAATTTTACTGAGGCGCAGAAACAAGACGTTAAACACAAAAAAAAGACAGACTCACTGAACATTTCAAACAACTCGCAAAGGAGTCTAAGCACACAATGTGGGAACATTTTTGTCAAGAAATAGGTTACGAAAAATCTCTCAGAAAATTCTGGCGGCTCCACCAAAAGATGAACGGAGGCAAACAAACCTCTGTTATGCCCGAGCTAAAAATGGACAACGGGGTGGTGTTAAAATCGGATAAAGACAAAGGGGAGGCTATCCTGCACAGATTTCTCCTGCAGACGGAAAAGAAAGACAGGGAAGATAGGGAGCAGATGAAACAGAATTTACATGATATCCAGATAGCTGAAATCGAGGAAGACGATGATACAGTATACATCTCAACGGACTGCATCAAAGCAACACTGAAGACCTGTCCAGACACAGCTCCAGGTCCTGATGGCATTAGATACAGCGACTTCAAAAGCCTCGATATGACAGATATGGATGAACTTTCCACGATTTTTAACAACACCATGAAAACTGGCATTATTCCTGATGACTGGCTCCACAGCTATCTCAGACCAGTTCCTAAGCCAGGAAAAGACCACACGAGAATAAATGGCTATAGGATCATAACACTTCAGAACACGGTAGGAAAACTCATGGAAAAAATCGTTGCCAGAACGTTAACCCAAAAATTAGAGTCGGGTGGTCTATTCCCCGCTACACTAGGAGGTTACCGACCAGGAAGAGATACATGGTGCAATGCTGCAGTTTTTTGCTTACGACACATATGAGGGTTTCCAGGAGGGAATGGAAACTGCTGCAGCCGCTATTGACTTAGAAGATGCGTACAACAGCGTCCCATACAACATGCTCATCAGACTGCTGTTGGATATGCAGATAGAGACAAAGTTGGTCAACTGGATAGCAGCAGCGTTTTTTGAAAGAACAGTGTCGCTTCGATGTGGTAAATGGGCATCCGAACCTCAACGAGTCCTAATGGGTCTGCCACAGGGATCACCACTGTCGCCTGTGCTCTTCAATGTGTACACAGCAGGAGTCACTAGTGCACAACGCGTAGGTCTAGGTAGAACAATGTCGTATGCAGATGATATTCTTGTTTACCGTCGAGGTAAAAACAGGCAGGAAATTACAACCACACTACAACACGAACTGGACAGACTTAGTGAGTGGTGCCAGGAATCAAGAGCTCAAGTGAACCCGTCCAAAGCCTCCTTAACATGGTTCTCTCTAAATACTCACATCGTCAATACACCAACGCCAGTCGTAAGCATATGTGGTGTGGACATTGAGAGAACGGACACCATGAAATACCTGGGTATGACATTTGACAGATGCTTGTCATACAAATGCCATGTAGACAACGTCATACTTAGAGCCAGAAAAGGTCTGACAGCACTCAAGGTGCTAGCAGCAGCTGATATTGAACAACGCCTACTTTTCCTTCTCTATCAAGGGCTTGTGCTTAGCGTCATTGACTATGGTCTTGGCCTCCTCACTGTCAGCAAAACCCAGCTAGAAAGACTGGACCGAGTACAAAATGAGGCCATGAGACTCATACTCGGCTGCACAAAAGACACCTCCTGCAACGCCATGCGTTATGTCCTGGGTTTGCCAACGATGACTAGCAGTTACAAAGTGGCACAAGTCAAGGCTTACATGAGGGTATCGGCAGACGCTAACCACCCATTGCACAAAGCTATATACGACACAAAAGGAACGCGTCTCAAAAGAGGCCGCTCTTGGATGGCAAAGGCTGAGAATTTGATCCAGCAGGTATGTGACCTACGCGTTATCAGGCACGGAAAAGAATGGATGAATACACCAGTAGACATGCATGGCATCTCTAAGGTTGTCATCACACTAGGAAGGTACTGTCGGGATCAGATTCCTGCGGCCATAGACACAGAAGTAAGGGAACTGATAGATCAGCATTCAGACCCAGAAGATATCATCATCTACACAGATGGGTCCGTGAAGCGCGGATCAAGGTCAGCATGGGCATACACAGCGCAAAGAAGGGGGAAAACAATACATGAGGACAGCGGCGCTTACCAGACAACCACGTCAAGCATGACCATGGAAATAGCCGCTGCTTCTAGAGCTTTAGCATGGGTATCCGAGCAAACCGCCACACAAGCAGTAATTGTCTCAGACTCAATGAATATGCTTCAGAAAATAGCAACAGGCAGTATGCGCTCTGAATGGATAGAAAGCATTCGGAAATCGCACTTAACTTCCGTAACCTGGATCTACACACCGGGTCATGCGGGCGTAAAGGGAAATGAGCGAGCGGACCAACTGGCAAGCACAGCACTAATGATTGCGGGAAAAAGCATGGACAGAGCAGATATCGTTAACGCTGTACGTACTGGGCTAGTGGATAATATCGAATCCCTGACACTAACACGATTGCGTGACATGGGAGTTAAGCATGGTGAAGCACGTCTTTGCCGTCTGCGAGGCCGAGAAAGGAGACAATATAACCAGCTTCTCATGGGGACAATTAGTAGAAGTACTTTGGAGTGGCTGCTGCTTCGGAGGACTGCGCACGCATGGGTATGCCCAATGTGCAGTGACGTCGATTGTGATAACAAAACACAAAATAACATTTTATAGGAAGTCGGTATTCTGAAACCCAAGTTCAAGGTGTCTCCTTCGTGCCAAAGAACTGCATGGCTGTTGGGTGAACAGTCGTTAACGAAGGCAGTCAGGTCGTTGTAGGGGCGACGCCTGCTGGTGGATGTAATGTCCTAAGTCCCTTTCCCAGCTAATAGTGAGGGTACTGCTGGGGTGACCATTTGTTAACCCCTCACATAATGCTTCAAGTCACAGTGGACACTAGGCACGACCACTTTTTTTTTTTTTTTTTTTTTTTTTTAGCCGTGGCAGTTCTGCCAGGCGGTGGCCGTTGCATTTTTGCTCCATTTGTAGACTGGAAGGATATAGTTTCGTCACCCAGCTTCTGAGTTGAGTGCATGGTGTGACACTGTGAGCTACGAGTGTTTTTCGTTGGCACAGGAGCGGAGCAACAATGGGGTGACCCGTTTGCTATGATGCTGAAACTAGGATTACCAGATTACCAGATTACCAGATACATCCTGGTACCCATTTTAGACTGGGTCGACCTGCAACGCCCCATACCATGATAAAAATCCACGCAGCCACCAGTGCGATTCGATAGCAGTTCGTTGGAATTACGAGTCGGACTCGCAAAGCCTAATCCACAGATGCTGCCTTACTTTACTCTTAGTGCTGACAAGGTCACACCAAAATCACAAATGCTGTAAATATTTCAAATCTGGATAAATTAAAACATCACTTTCCAGGCCTTTCGGCATATTGGGCCTTCAGGGCTAGACCTATATTTTATAGACCATTCGGGATTCAGAGGGTGATATAGTCAGCATCACACCAGCCACCTTGACTTCCCAGGACTTTACCATATTTCATTTAAGGCTGGATCGACCCGGAAGCTAAAGTCATATTAGTGTGGTGGTCATGCCCAAAGTTGAATGTCATGCAGTCTATTCCAAACAGTTTGATCAGACACATGATGTCCTGGCGGCAATGTCTGTGCAGTTGAGGAAGCTGTTGTAAACCTGTCTCTGAGGTGACGAAGCCAAATAAAATGATTATCTGCTTCTGTTGTCACTCAGGGTCATCCACTGCAGTGTCAGTCTTCAACTGAACCAGTGGTTGAAACTGGTGCCAAGATCGACTGATAATACTCTGATAAAAGTTTAGATGCCTGGCAACCTGACTTTGACTTTTTCCTGCCTGTAATTGGCCAACAGCAATTATTCCTTAAATTTATTAATAGAGGCGCCATTTGTGACTGCTTGAAAACGAACTGAATGTTTTGGTGTAGCTTTACCCTTTCATAGGCAGTGAATAGTGTTCACCCCAAACCGTGTTGCTTTCTCATGGGCGCATCATGAGCTATGCTCACATATATGGTCTTAAACACAACCGACCACTGCATTGTAATGACTGCAAAAACCTATGCAATTCATGCCCAAATGTCCACTGAACACGAAAAACAACATTTCAGTCTGCTTTTCACATACCCGAGTACAATCTTTTATTTACAAACTAATAAAATCACACCAGCTGAAAACTATGTGGGTTTTTTTTTTTTTTGGGGGGGGGGGGGGGGGGGGGGGTGGGGGCAGTATACTTTGCCTGTGTGAGCTTCAAGATTTTGCTGGGACTGACATGTTGTTCACCAATTTTAAAATGGGACAGTAAAGAACATTTTGTGTGATCTCCACTGGCACATGAAAAGATCACTTATTTAGAAACCCATCTACAGAGATGTGGAAACCCATCTACAGAGATGTGGAAACTCATCTACAGAGATGAGGAAACCCATCTACAGAGGAGTTGGAACCTTGACTAACTAAATAAGTTATTAGAGTGAGTCAAACCATATATTTCTGAGAGACAGACAGTGGTGTGGGAGACAGACAGGGGTGTGGGAGACAGACAGGGGTGTGGGAGACAGACAGGGGTGTGGGAGATGGACAGGGGTGTGGGAGACAGACAGGGGTGTGGGAGACAAGAGGCGGACTGATAAGATATAGACGGTGTCAGAGTACAATTGCAATGATTCGTTGTCTAGGAGATGATGTGTCTAGTGAATGCTCTTAGCACACATTCTTACGATGACATAACTGGGACAAGCCGACACCGACTTCAAAGTACGATACAATTTATTGACATCTCATCACTTACATAAAAGTCCTGTCCATGTCCTAATTTCCAGCTTACACGCACTACAGTTATCAGTCTCCAACATGCTGGTTTCTCACACGATCATCGACCAGAGTTCGCACAGGTGGATCTGGTTGTTATTACCGACTTCACACAGACTGGCCTGGCTGGACTTGGCATCGATGGATGTTATCGACTGGTCTTCCTCTCTCAACAACCAGTCTCACGTTGTCATTTTCCCGAACACTCTCACATCCTTTCGCTGTGACGGTCGACACATACTAACTCATACTAACTGGGGTCTGATTCTATACCCAGTGTACGTTCCACTTGGCAACACGTGGTTGTTTTTGGGTTCCACGTGGCGACCTGTGGTCGTTCTCCTTTACTTCAACGTGATAACTCCTGGTCGTCCCCTATCTTGAAAAACTCATTTAATCCGAGTCCAACCTCCCCAATCAGGGTGACAATATCCCCCATTACAATCAATGATAGCTATTTATGAGTGAACCAAGTAAACTGTTGTGAGTGATGAATCAATTATTGAGAGTGACCACAATGTTTTGACTTCTTATGACCACTGACTGCAAATAACCAACACCTGAAGAAACTTTGTTTACACTTGTCTGCAGGTAGAGCTGACCTGGCACCCACGGGAAGGTCTTATTATGTATATAAATGGACAGAGGGTGGCCTACCAGGTCTCCGCTGTAGACCAGGTAGTGCAGATACCAGCTGACTGGAGAACTTACTTTGGTCGAGCACTCCTAGTAAGTCATGAGTTCACACAATTGCTTATTTAAAACAGTACCATTCAGTTGACAAAAGTCTCAATGATTTTCAACATTTGGACAGTTTATAATTGTGTTTCTCTAACCTATAATTTATGTTTGGTTATAAGGTCATTGTCAAGTGTTCATCTATTTATTTGTCCCTAGAATAAATGTTTCAGCTTTTCACTACAATATCATATATTCTCCTGTTTGTTTGTCATAAGAATAAATGCTTTATCTTGTCACTACAATACAAAATTATCAGTTGATGTTTAACAGAAATAATCATTGGAATAAATGCTTTATCTTGTATCTACAATACACAATTATCAGTTGTTTTTCAACAAGAATAATCATTGGAATAAATGCTTTATCTTGTATCTACAATACACAATTATCAGTTGTTGTTCAACATGAATAATCATTAGAATAAATGCTTCATCTTGTCACTACAATACAAAATTATCAGCTGTTGTTTAACAGGAATAATCATTGGATTAAATGCTTTATCTTGTCACAACAATACAAAAATATCAGCTGTTGTTTAACAGGAATAATCATTAGAATAAATGCTTTATCTTGTCACTACAATACACAATTATCAGCTGTTGTTTAACAGAAATAATCATTAGATTAAAGGCTTTATCTTGTCACTACAATACACAATTATCAGTTGTTGCTTAACATGGATAATCATTAGAATCAATGCTTTATCTTGTCACTACAATACAAAATATCAGCTGTTTGTTGTTTAACAGGAATAATCATTAGAATAAATGCTTAAACTTTTCACTACACTATCAGATCATTATCTGATTATTTAATGTATGTTTTTTTTTTAAATTTATACTTGGGTGTTCAAAAGATACAGCATGCAGGGCAATTACTACCTTTTTGATTTTCCACCAATGGAGGACAGAATACAAATTTGCCGAGCACATGCTTAACCCAGAGTCAACACAGACGCACAGTACAATAGTGAAATTAAGAAAATGGCATATTAAAAAGAGGAAAATTGTGGATGTGTCCGGCCAAAGACATTATTCTGCAGGTGTAATCACTTGAGGACATAGAATCTGATGAGGGGGATACAGTCATTTGCACAGATAGGGCTGTTGTTCTCCATGTGAGAATCTTGTGGGCATTTATGGCTGAGGTTGGAGGGTATAGTTGTGAAGTAAATTTGCCTGGACTACAGATAGTCTGACTATCAAGGTCATGGCAGTAACCATGGCAATAACATGGCTGGAGACACAGACTTTCTCAGTGACTCAATAAGTATGCTCAGGAAGATTGAGATGGACTGGGTCAAAAGATAGTGGTTGGTGTCTCTGAGGTGGTTGGAGCTGGCAAAGATTAGTTGCATTTTTGTGCCAGGACATGCAGGCGTGCAAGGTAATGAACAAGCAGACTTGCAGGTGAGGCTGCTGTGAAGGACGGACGAGCCATGGACTAGGCCTGTATACTAAATGCTTTGAGAAGTGGCCTTTGCCAGAACCAAGTGGTAACTGAATCTCCAACCATGACCAGACTGCAAGAACATGTTAAAGCGGGTGTGGCCAGATAAGAGCTCAATGCAGAAAGCCAAAGATGAATAAGTAGCCAGCACAGAACTGGTGTCGTGAGCTGCTACTCGCTTTGAGATTTACCCAGGAGGGGATCTGAATAATTATGAACTGAATAGTTTAATATGCAGTAATAATAATCTTTCAACTAAGAAGGTTATTTACCATTTTAACAAATGCTTTATCTTGCCACTACACTATTTCATCTGTTTCTCAATCAAGTAAATGGCTTGAATTTATCATTACTCTATAAGATCTTCTTTGCTGTAATCAATACTCAAATTCTGTTTATTTCTCCTGCATTTATAACAATATCTCAAGAATATATGCTTGTTCACAGGGTGGCCAGACATACGCGAACACTGGGGTGGATAATATTGAGTTCTGGACAGCCTATAGAGACTACATACCTGAGGATGATTATCTCAAGATTCAACCCTACATTCCAACCCGACCACCAGTAACACGACCACCACCTACCACCTCAAATGGTAAGAGCTATTTACTGATGCTGCCTACACTCGTTTCTCTGTTTCTGTGAAGCATTTTCTCAATGTTCAACTAACAGCCTTGAATCTAGAATATCATGAACAAACAGACATATACTGATCATACAAAGTAAAGACAGAAGGACACATTAGATCATTTTAAAAGTTATAGTTATCAAACTGAGAGCTGAAACTGTCACCTCCAAATACTGACAGCACTGCACTGAATGAAAAAACAAATTTACTTCCACAACTGACCCGCTCAACACCACTATTCCCCTTTACTGGATCCAGAAAACTAGAAGAGGGTTGAAGGTGTAGCTACAGAAAAGTCACCTAAGACCGCAATCAGTACTGACAGCAGGGGGTCTCCAATACTGTGTCTCTCAATCTAAGTGGTCTACACTTTGACAGTCTGCTGCCCATCTATCCCTCTAGTAAGGTTTTTTATAAAAGTGTCGTATCCCAGGTACCCAAGTACTCAAAACGTATTGTCTTCCTTAAGGATTGTCCCATTTACTTTGGTGTTGCATTTTGGAGAGTCCAACTTCTTTGTAATTAGCATTACTTCTGTTTTTCTGCTGTTCAAACTAAGACCAATGTTTTGATTTTCTGTTACACTTATGTGTGATACTAATATCTTTTGTGAATAGTGCATTATAAATGTTTATAATTTTTTTAGACAAAGGTTTTTATTTTGTAAAGTGATGTATTGTTGTGGAATGATTTACTCAGACATATTAATTAATAGATAGATGTTCTAATTCATTGTTCTTCAACTGGTGTTCCATATACCCCTGGAGATTTGTAAATATCTCCTGCTGCCAGAAATAGTGGCTGCATGATTCGGGTACCATATCACTGCAGAAGTTTTCTAACTGCCTGCAAGCAGCAGAAGATGGCGGATCAGCTTGAAATTGTAATTTTATGACATCGGATTTAACAAATGAACTATTATCTGTTTTTTTCATTGGCTAGAGAGAATCTGAGTTTCTTTCAGGTGATGAGAGCATGTTCTGTACAAGGATCTACTACATCAGTGGCTCTCAACCTTGCTAATGCGGCGACCCCTTTAATACAGTTCTTCATGTTGTGGCAACCCCTTTAATACAGTTCTTCATGTTGTGGCAAACCCCAACCATGCAATTATTTTCATTGATACTTCATAACTTCAGTGAATATGTGTTTTCCGATGGTCTTTGGCGACCTCTGTGAAATAACCGTTCCACCCACCAAAGGGTCGTGACTCACAGGTTGAAAACCATTATACTGCATGATGAGCTCTCATTTGGACCATAACAGAGTTTCCATGTGTTTCCAGTTCATGGGTTTCAGTTATTCTTTTAAAAAACCCACAAAAGCAAAATAAGCTCATCAAGTCTTGTTGGGAAGATAAAAAGATGAATGTTACAATCTGAGTAGCCAGATTTTTTTCAGTATCAAATATATCGAAACAGAGGAGGACAAATGGGAGGTAATTCATTTCTTAGTGTGGAAAGAGCTACGAAATTTTACGTTTTGAAAACTGAGCTCACTCCTAGGAACTTCAGCTTCTGTAAAAATTTTTTTTTTAAGTTGTCTTTCCTTACCAGATTATTCAAATGTCAATGGTATATTTTATTTTACAACACACTTTGGCAAAACAGTAGATAGATTAACATAATTGTTAAATGTCCTAGTTGCATGCTTGTACATTTTTTGGTTTTAGGTGTAATTTTAAGTGCAGTACATAACTATCTGTTGTAGTCTGTGCTAAAATGTAGCATCCTATGTTGTATGTTTCTTCCCACAGAAGGACTCATCACCTCACTCATAGGCGGTAAGCTGTTTGTGTACTTATTAACATAACCCATTTTCATTTTGTAACATGATTTTCACATTAATAATAATTTTCACATTTATTTTAGTTTTCACTTTAATGTCAGGTTTCATATGATTTGTGTATTAATGATTGATTGTTACTGAATCCTCTTGAAGTCTGAGTTTAAACTCTGAAGTTTAGTCTTTTTTTTTTTTTTTTTGGTTAGAGAGTGTCAGAGAGAGGATTTATATATAGTCTCGATTTGTGATAATGTCATATCGCGTTTCTGTAGTGTCTCTTCTTATCCCTCCTTCCAACTCTTTCTCGGTTAACCTCTTGCCCTGTAGCCTGCTGTTCTCATGTAGTACACTCCAGCTGCTGGCTGATTTTGTTCCATTTTGACCAGATGGCCAAACCATTTGATTCTTTGATGTTCTATGACATTATTTACTGTTACTCATCTATTGAATTTACATAAAGGATGTATGAACCTTGAAAAGGGTTTGCACCTATGAGTGAGGCTGGTGTAGACACTTGCCTCCTTACCTGCCACCTAAGCATCATCATGGGGACTGTGTTGCACTGCTCCGCTCCACTTCTGCAATATCAGAAATTAGTGTGAGCAAGGTTCCTTTTTACTTCTTTTGGCATGTGGAGCATATGATGATAGAATCAGAGTTTTAGCACTCTGTGAATGACATGGTCAACATCAGGTTGGCCGCTTTTACCTTCCAGGACATTATGTTGGTAGAATTTCTTTCAACAGATGTCTTCTTCTCTTTCTTTTTTTCTTCTTATTTGTTTTGCAACCCACATGGGGACACTAGAAAGCATTTCCTTATCAGCAGATAAGTTGTGTGATGGTTTGGTTTGAACGACGGATCAACATCAAGGCACAGGGGTAGTAACCCATAAGTGCTCCGTTCTACTTCTACCTCAAGCAGTCTGAAGAATCTCAGTCCAGTGCACGCACTCTGCAGCACCAGCTAGAATCCTAAAAATACTTGGGTAGATTTTTAAATTCAAATTCCTCTTGGGCAGTGCCGCTAGGCTACTCTTTTCAATTTCCAACTTTCAAGGGATTTTTACGTGCGCAACAATACAATCCGATCTTACTACCCAAAGAATTACTAGAAGTCCACGTGAAAAAAATCTCAGCCTTCACTGGGGTCTGAACCTTGGACCTCCAGCACTCGAATTTTCATTACATTAACCTATAATTAAATTATGAAGTATTTACCAGCGGAATAAGGAATAAGTGTTCACATTATTTCCTTATGTTAAAGTTAGTTGGGTATCCTTTACCGGACATTGCAGAACCAACCCCATTCATATAATAATATGCATGTTATGAATATCAAGCAAAAACACAAAAGCATAGCGGTACACTCGCGCCCGCATACACACGCACTCAAACCCACTTACCCAAACACATACATACAGATAAACAGACAGACAGACAGGCAGGCAGTCAGACAGACAGACCAGTTCAAAAATCCGAGGCCTAAAAAGAACTAACCAGCGCCCCCCCCCCCCCTCCAAAACACATACACACACACATAATAATTGTTTTTAAATCACTTTTGGCATTGCGTGTTAATGTGTTTTGAGAAGATAGATGTATGCAACCACTTTTAACGAACATTAAAACTGTTCTTAACAGCTGAGTTTATCCCGTGTCAACTTTGAAAGAAAGAAAAAATCCAGCTAGCGAATTCTGTGTGTGCTAGTTCTCGTTATCGTCCATACCCTAGGTGATGTTATTTTTAACTCAGGGATTTTGCTGTAGAGAGGAAATGGCAAGGGAGGTTAAAGTTCTGCTGGAGCGTTGTTTGGGCTGGCGGGGTCTGACATTTGTTAACATGTGCTCTGCTGAAATCTGGACAGCGTACATG